CACACATTCAATCTGATTAGTCCTAGCTCCCATTATGGCTGTTGTTCATGGTATGGGGGTTGCTGAATATTTTTAATATTACCGCTTACAAATAGTTGTTCCCCCCATGTTACAAATAAAGCAGAAAGAGGAATAAGATATTCAGGTGGCTGGTTCCACAGCATGAAAGGTTTACCAATATCACCTCATAAATAAGGAGTGCCTGGATCTCTCAGTACATTTATAGTGCTATTCCCTCCTCCCCCCACCTCCAGAACAACTTAGAAAGTTAGCAGATGATAGCCTCACTTTAACAAGTGGATAAGCGAGTTACAGAAAGCTTGGGTGACCTGCCAATGGTAACAGCGCAAGTGAGTAGTGGAGGCTGCCCAAGATCTCAGGAAGTATTCCGTCCACTCAGCTACCCATCCTAAGACAAGAATGCCAACTCAGAAAAGACCAGGGACAGTAGCAAGCAGAACTCACCACTCCTGATTGCCAAAAACTCAGTTATTTTTCTCCTCTTTATTCTGTCAAGTTCCTTGGAAACTTCAGAGCCAAACTGATTTCAGACATTGAAACACACATAAGAAGGAAAAACTTTTCTTAAATACATAAACTTTCATTCCCAGTCTCCACTCTTTCCTCTTTCCGGCAGAGTGAGCTTCAGCATAGTGGTTGTACGATGAGTGAAAATGTTGAAGTTCACAAAAGCATTAAAATACACTCTATTGAGATGATCACGAAAATGCTATTTTTCACTTTGGCAAATATACTTACATTTAAGGCCAAAGGTACAGGCAATTTGTGATAAGAGCTGTAAGAGTCCTCAATAAAATGATTTTTAAAAATCATTTTATTGGGGGCTCATACAACTCTTATCACAATCCTAGCACATTTGTACATTCGTTGCCCTCATCATTTTCAAAGCATTTGCTCTCCACTTAAGCCCCTGGCATCTCTCTCCCTCCCTACACCCCCCTCCCTCATGAACCCTTGATAATTTATAAATTATTATTTTTTCATATCTTACAAAATGATTTTTTTAATGTTAAAAAAAAAAAACCTTACGTACTATAGACCATAATCCAGGACAAAATACAGGTATGTGCTTTCACAACTCCCCTTGAATGGTCCAGCACCTCCCCAGGGGAAGTCTCACCTACTTTGGGAAATACTGATCTAGATGCTCTGAGTTTCCATAGTTCTCTTTTAGTCCCTGCCAATGCATACCTAGAGATGGCACAAAACTTTGTAACAGAAACCTGGCGTCACCATGGGATATGTCAGACCATGACTAAAGCAATAACCACAAAATCAACTGAGGCTACAAACTCTGAGATAAACACAACTTAGATTTTACATACCAGCTTTCAATCATTTTAATTCCGTTTTAAGTCATACAAACTGTTAACATGTTGATATATAACTTTACAGATATTTTGTCTATGTATATTTATATATGCATGTACATTTTAAATGACAAACTATGATACATATTATTCATTCTCTTTTGTAGCTTTCTACATTCAATGTAAATGCCTTTCTCTGAAAATAAAATGATTCCCCAAAAATACATTTGTGGGCAGATAGAGTTCCAATATACTATTTTCTACCAGTTTTCTATTCCATATATTAAAATTACCCATCAGTATGATAAACAAAACTGTAATGAATATCTTTGTGACTAAATATCACTGCAAACAGTGATCTTTAATTCTTCCCTTAAATATATTCAGAATTTAATATATGATAGAGATGGTATTTAAATCAGGGAAAAGGATAAATTATCTAGTAATTGATGCTGGCACAACTAATTAAACATTTGTTTAATAATTTCATGAAATGCCTCCTATAAAAATAAATATAAGAAAAATCAACATATAAAGTTTTGGTAGAAAGTATGACGGAATGTTTGCATCTTAGAATGTGGAAGTCATATCTAAACACAATACATGGTTTTGAAACCACAGAGGAAATTTATCTGGCTGTGTATCTAAAAACAGTTGGAATGATTTTCCTTTTTCTTTTTAATCATAAATATGATCAAATTGCAAATCTAAAAGGGCTAAAAAATATTGCCAATATTTGACAAAGAATTGTTATGTCCTCAATTACTAAATAAATAAATACTTAATGAATAGAAAAATTGAGAGCTGAATGTAAAAGAAGTACAAATGGCCAGTGAGATGAAGTCAATTTCCCTTCCAGCCATAATCTTTTTGTAAATTCCAACCTCTTTGCCGTGGTTACAAGCCCATTTTGGAAGGAATTCTTATAGGATTGAGATGATAAAATGAAGATTATTCTGAGTTTTCACTTTACTACAGGTTACTCAAGCCACTGCCCTAGGTTTGTTTGAGGGTGTATGTAGCCTGCGGAAAGACAAACACTTCCATCAAACCTTTCCCCTTCACGACCTCCGCTTTCTGACTGTTAGTAAGACAAAGAAAACTTGCTTTGACTTTCAGACAGTTTGGGTTTCCAGCTCTGCTGGTTATTTGCTGGGCTGCTAACCAAAAGGTCAGCAGTTCAAAACTACCAACCACTCTGTGGGAGAAAGATGGGGCTTTCTACTCCCATAAAGAATTGTAGTCTCAGAAACCCACAGGGCAGTTCTAGCCTGTCCTATAGGGTCACTGTGAGTCAGCATTGAGATGGCTGGCAGTAAGATTGGTTTTGAATTTGCCTGACCTCTTGGACTTGATCTATGGTCTGTGACCCGACCTGATTAATCAGCTTCCACAGTCTTGTGGGTAAAGAGGCTCTTATAGACATCTGAACTTTGGCTTTGGGACTTAACAACACCCATAACCACGTGAACCATTTCCTAGAGGTTTAGTGAATTCTGCAAGGCATTGCAGCCAATTGCAGAAGCCAGGGACATAAGGGAATATACTAAATGGAGAAGCGGTGGTTGACATCCAGGGAAAGGGGCAATATGCCATATGTACTCATGTAGTAGCTGAGTTTTTCAGCATATTTTTAATGCAGTTTTTATGGTAAAATTAGGTGCCTCTGTTTATATTTGGGTTGGCTTATACGTGAGTATGTATGGTAATAGCTTGGGAAAGTTGGAAATCATTCATCTTCAATGCCTTGGGACTAGTCTACTATTAATTTTTAATTTAAAAATTTTTACTATTAATTTTCTAAAAGAAAATATGACCAGTCAGTAACCATTTGCAAAGCTACTATATTAAGTTTGATAAGCTCCAGAGTTGATGGGTATGGAGGTGAAATGACCAGTGAAGGTATTATGGAGTTCAGTCTAGTTAGATCTTTCAAAATTTAAATACACATATCTTTTCATGGAAAAGGTCATTTCCTTTCTCAGAATCTCTTCTACATTTGTATAAATACAAAGCACTACTTGTGAAACCAAAACTGAAAATATTCCAAATGTCAATCAACAAGAACTGAGTATCAAATCATGGTACATTCATACCTTACAGCATAAAGCAGCTCATAAAAAGAATAAGGCAGATCTATCTGTGGATAAAGAAAAGAATACTGATCTATATTTCTCAAAGGAAAAACATAATGTTATGAAATATCATTTGGAAAGAGTTACATAAGAAACTGCTAAGAGTGATTTCCTCACAAGATTACACCTACATACATATATAGGTAGGGGTGTCAGTATGCACGTACATATTGTCAGTGCCGCATGAAGGCTCATATAGACAGAGCACATAGAGGGTACCATTACAAAAACCACCAGACATCAGAACTGAGCCACTACACTTGAAAGCGAAGGACCATAGTCTCAGGGGCCAAAGAAGTTCATTGGTAAAGCACAGTTCATAAAGAAAACACTCTCTTTCCTACTCTAGTGAAAATTATCTGGGATATGAAAAACTTGATGCTGAAGTCAAAATGGGTGCATAAGCAAATGTGGCGAAGAAAGCTGATGGTGCTTAGCTATTACAAGATATAGTGTCTGGGGTCTTAAAGGCTTGAAGTTCAACAAGTGGCCATCCAGCAGGGAAGCAACAAAGCCACAAGGAAGAAGCACACCAATCTGTGTGATCACCAGGTGTTGACAGGATCAGATTTGGGGCATCAGAAGACCCAAAACAAACAATCATATTGATGCAAACTAGGGGGTCAGAGTGGAAACCCAAACCCCACTGTAGACAATTGGACATCTCCTTACAGAAGGGTCACAAGGAAGGGATGAGCCAGCCAGGGTGCAATATAGCACCAATGAAATACTCAGCATTCCTGTAGTCCTTTAACGCTTCCTCCCCTCTACTATTGTGACCCCAGGTCTACCTTACAAATCTGGCTAGACCAGAGCATGTACACTGGTACAGATAAGAGCTCTCGACACACAGAATCCAGGACAGATAAATATCTCAAGAGTCCCTCAGGAACAACAATGGGAGTAGTGATAGCATGATGGTAGTAAATCTTTCTTTATTAAACTGATAAGAGCAGATACTACACTAGATCATAGTCCAAAATGATGCAGTAAATCTTTCTTTATATATTTATACATATGCTTCATTAATTTTCCTCCTTCAGAGAACCCTGATTAAGACAGAGAATTAATGAATTTCTATAATAAAACATAGAAAGATCATAAATGTATGCTACAGGGCCAATGTTACACATATTATCTGAATCAAAATTAAACATTTTAAGAGAAAATTAACAAAATATAAAAGATACCAGGTGGGGGGTTGGAGATAGGTAGGGTGAGGGGGGTGGGGGAGCAAATAATATACGTGGGAGGGAGCACTCTCTAGAACTGATGGTGATTCCACAACTCATTTTAAAAGTGATTTAACCATGGGGGGAGGGGCGGGGAGAGAAAATGTTCTAAAATTGATTGTGGTAATGATTGCACAACTCTTCTTGGTGTGATTGAACTACTGAATTGTATGATATGTGGATTAAGTTCCAATAAAACTGTTGCTTTTTTTAAAAGAAAATATTGGACAAATAAAATATTTAAACAAAAGCACAAATTAATGAATTTGAAATAAAGAAAGAAAGAAACCCGGTCCTCTTACCTGCCATGGATCCAGCCATTAATCTGTGCACATGACCTGAAATTCCCAGCTTTGTAGTAATTAACTAGAAACCAAAAATACTGACATAAATATTTTTAAATGCCACCTATTTCACTGGTTAATAATAACAAAATTTCAAAAGCATTGCAGAAGTACAAAGAGATTCAGTAATAAAGGTCAGTGAAATTAGCACAATCATAGGAAGTGGGGCAGTGTTACGTAACAAAAGAAAGTCATCGGGTCTTTCCCTGTGGTCACCTGTATGCTAACGAAGAGGACTGTCCGGCTAAAGTGTTGAGTTGCTAGCCAAATTGTTGGTGGATCAAACCCACCAGTCACTCCATGGGAGAACGTTGTGGCTACTGCTCTCATAAAGATTTACAGTCTCAGAAGCACTATATACGGTTGCTATGCTTCAGAATGGACTCTAAAAGTTGAAAGGGCAGAGTCACAGCAAAATGCTATACTAGACAACTAAATCTTGATACACGGTTAGCACCAATTCAGTCTAACAGACCAGCTTAAATTTTTGCTTCTATCTCTACAGCTTATATTTCATTCCAAGATTTTATTTTTTTCAATCAGGGTGTGTTTTTGTTTGTTTTGTTTTATTATGAATTAGATGGTAGGTGGGATTTAAGATACCTTTAGAAACATGTACTTTTACCCCTTTCTGTGCTAAGATAACATTTGAATGGATAAACTTTCATTCAGCTAACGTTGGGAATTTTAATCCAAGTAAGATGGAAAAATTCTATTAACTTGCAGAATGATTGTAAACAAAATTTCATATTGTAATTTAACTATTTTTATTTAATATGAAAATCCAAAGTGACCCTGTCCTACAATTAATGAACAAAGAGGACATTAAGAAGCTAACAATATGTCAATTTACTATTATCTCCTTGAAGGATACTTTGCTTCTTTTTTCCCTAAATGAAACATAAACATAAAGAATTTACTCAGAAAATTCCAAAATGAATTCTTAAAAACTTTTTTAATTATCACAAATATTAATCCCTAAAAAAAGCCTTACACTAGCCAGTCATTCAAAACAACTCTAGTAACAAAACAAATGCTTCAGCAAGTAAGCTTAACAGTCAAGGACATCAGCAAAGCAAGAGACACGTTCAAGTACCGTTTTATATTGTTCAAATGCCATGAACTGGATTGCGCCATAGGGAAAGATTCGAATCATCATCGCACCATTTCCTTTATACAAACCAAGGTATCCTTCTTTTTGGGGAACAGCGCGTAAAGTAGAAAACACTCCTATTTTCAGAAGCAAAATACCATTAAAATAGACAAAATTATCTATATTCCAAACTTCATAACAATCATAGACGAAGATTAACATGCTATCACTCATGATACCATTTTGCTTGAGAAACTGTGAATAGCAATTTCTATAAAACAGTTAAACCCAACTCACATAGAAAGAAAATGTTTTAAAAGTGTTGATGGCAACATATGTACAAATGTGCTTGACACAATGGATGTATGGATTGTTATAAGAGGTGTAAGAGCCTCCAATAAAATGATTCATTAAAAACACACATATAAAATAAAAACAACTAATATAACACATCATATTAATACAGGACTAAAACTCATGAAAAATAAAATGTTTTGAGAGTAAGGAAAGCATATGAACAAAAAGAAATCTTCTAGTAAAAAAAGCCTATATATTTTCCATAGCCTTAACCACCCTAAAACAAAAACAAAACAGAATACTTAAACATACCAAAGGTGAACTACGTATACAAATTTCATAACTAAATAAGCATGTAAAAATATAAAACATATAATGTAATGCAAGAGATTACAACTCTAAAACTAAGATATTTAAACCACTGAATTCCATGGCATATGAACTATAACAATTTTAAAATATTTATTAGGCATATAAAGTATTATGTGTTCTCAATGAGCTCCCAGTATAGAGAGGTAAACAGAAAAAAAATTTGCCCATGCATAACAACAGAAATGCATTCACAGTCTAGATACTGCCTTGAAGATGATCAACTCTAACAGGAGCATGAAGAAAAGCTTCTTAATTTGAGTCAGATACATGCGTAATATTTGTTTGTATTTTTAAAATGCTAAACGACCACCTATAAAACTTTTGGGGTACAGTTTCACTTCTGAAGACACTAATTGAAAATTCTGGTAAAACAGGGCCTGAATTCTGATCCATTTATATTGATATGTTTATTATTTGATTAGCACCAATCACTAGCCCTAACCCTATACACACTTGTAAACACATCTCTACTTCCATTTTACAATGATTTTTCAATCAAAGACTTGATAAAAATATAAGTCATTTGGGTTTATTTCAAATTTTAGACTGAAAGTAACCTTTTCAGTTCATCAGTAATTAGAATTTTAAATCCTAAAAAGCATTTTTTACTAAATAAAAATGTAAGAGCCTATAAAAGAGAATTTTTTTTTTTAAGCTGTCCTTTTCTGGAAGGAGGGCAGGAGGGCAAAGGCTAAGGTCGGTCTAAATTGAATCATATGTTTGTAACAATTTAAGGGTAATGAGATTTAGAACAACAGTAATCTACTATGGACAAGATGGTATCAGTGATGATGGAAAAGATCAGAGGAACTATTAGCTATATAAAAACAATACTAGTTTCTGAAGCTCTGTGGTGGACCTGCATATATTTATTATATTACTCTTTAAAACTTGATTGTCATACATAATTTATTTAAAGGTTTTCTGGTTTTTGGTTTGTATGTTCGTTTGTTTGTTTTTAATAATTGTTGTTAGCTGCCCATCAAGTAGGCCCTCAATTCATGATGTACAATAGGACAAAGCCTTTCCTGGTTTTGTGCCATCTCCCCCCACCATGACTACTTGCAGGTCAGATCCTTCTGATCCACAAAGTTCTCAGTGGCTGAGTCTTGGAGGTAGATCACCTGGATGAGGCCGTTCTTCCTATTCCTTCTTAGTCCAAAAGTTTCACCTGTTTAGTATCATAGCAACATGCAACACGTGAGTGTTGCAACATGGCTGCACTTGAGTACTGGCTGGAAACCAAACCCAAATCTCCCACATTAGGGTAAGGATCCACCACTGACTGCCAATGCCCCATAACAAAACTGAAATAGAGATAGAAAGCAAGAAGGAAGTACTGGGGAGGAAGAGATACAAGAACAGAAAATATAAAATAAGATGGTGAATGGATATATCAATGAGCAAAAACAAACAATATTTTTAATTCTTCTATTAAAAGCCAAAAATTCTCAAAATCTATTAAAAGTTTATATCCAACCATACTTTTTTTTTCTTTTACTAAATACCACTTAAAACAAAATAACAAAAAGTCAAATGTGTGTCTACAAAGACTAGATGTTGAATCTTCCCAAAATGTTTCTAAAAACCCATTGATCATGGGGGAAAGGGGAGGAGGAAGGGAAGGGGGGGGGCAGGAAAATGAGCGGATTCCGGGAACCCAAGAGGCAAGCGAATTTTGGGAATAATGAGGGCAACAAATGTATAGATGTGCTTTACACAATTGATCTATGTATTGTGATGAATTGTATGAGCCCCAATAAATTGATAAAAAAAAAAGGTAAGGGTAATATATTCTTATGTTTAATCATCATATTATGATTTAATACTCATTAAGCAGTTCTGATTTAATAAAAAACTAAAAGAAAAAAAACCCATTGATATAAGTAAATTATTTGTCTTCTTCAATCTATAATTTGTACTATTTTTACTTTGGGAAAGGATTGAGATTCCCTTATGATAGAACACTGAACCACATGTTGGGTTTTTTGTTTTTGTTTTTTTCTGATCATTTTATTAGGGGCTCATACAACTCTTATCACAATCCATACACACATCAATTGTGTAAAGCCTATTTGTACATTCATTGCCCTCATCATTCTCAAAACATTTCCTCTCCACTTAAGCCCCTGGCATTAGGTCCTCATTTTTCCTCTCCCTCCCCTCTCCCCCTCCCTCATGAGCCCTTGATAGTTTATAAATTATTATTTTGTCATATCTTGCCCTGTCCGACGTCTCCCTTCACCCACTTTTCTGCTGTCCATCCCCCAGGGAGGAGGTCACATATAGTTCCTTGTAATCGGTTCCCTTTTTCTGACCCACTCTCCCTCTACCCTCCCAGTATTACCACTCACACCACTGGTCCTGTAGCTGAACCATATTTTGTAAATGTTACAAACATATGAAAAGAAAATATAGTTTCGGTAAGGTGCAAAATTCCCTGTGCACCTGTTATATCAAGCTTTTATATCACTTAAATCCTCTCAGAATCTTTACTTACTTTATCAAGCTAGGATCAGAGGGAACTAACATTTGCCAAATCATGAATATCTAGGTATTTGTATATGTATAGATAACCTTTGGGAAGAAATTAGAAGGGAAAAAACTTTTATAAAAGAATTTGGAGCTAACGCAATGCTTTTACCCAACAGCGTAGCTCTATCTTTTCTTTTCTTTTTTAAACCTTTCTTTTTAATTTAAATAATTTTATTGGGGGCTTTTACAGATATAACAATTCATAAATCCCGTACATACTTGAGTATAAGCCAAGTTTTTCAGCACATTTTTAAGGCAGTTTTTGTGGTCAAATTAGGTGCCTCAGTTGATATTCAGGTCAGCTTATACTCAAATATATACAATATATGAAGTATGGTTTTTAATTTAACTGTGAAACGATCATGTTAAAAGGGCAATGTTATTCAAATTGTTAAAAAGCTAACAAATAATGCCTTAATCCTTAAATATACAGCTTTGAGTACATCTCTGATTACCTCCTTAAGATAACTGCTAAATTAAAAAGTAAGTTTTTCAAGGTTCTTTATCTTGCTAAACTGCCCTTGAAAAAGCAGTAGAGAGTTTCTGCTTCCACCAGTGACATATTAGAAAGTTCATGTTAACTTGAATGGCTAGTTATAATGCTTGTAATGAGCAACCAATGATGAAATGTGCATAAATGTGCATACACTATTGAAGGAAAACTACTTTGCTCTGAAACTTTCACTAGAATTAAAAAGGTCAACAAAGAATGAAAATGAAACAACTAAGGGCTTGTTGTTTTTTCCCCCAATAATACACTTTACCAATGTATACTCATTGCTACTGGATTTGGTCAAAACAATCTTATTTATACGTTTTGGGCGCTGATGATTTCAATTTCACAGTCATTGAGCCTTATCGCACTACAAATCAGGATCTGTTATGAGTGTCTCTGAAGGATGTACTAGCTATTCCCAGTAAGCAAATAACAACACTTCAATGAAACCAAGATTCTGGTTTGGGGAATATCAGGCCACTACAATGATAATAAATATAACCACTATTTCAAATGAAAGGATTAAAATAGATAAGAAATACATCCCTTGCAAAACTGTGCCCCCAAACACGATCTTCCCATTTGTGTCCTCCTTCCATTATCATGGACATGTGCAAAGGAAGCCAACAGATGGACGATGGTCTGTGAACTCACCTAAATGTTTGTAATGGTGATTATGAGCTTGTAATAGAACCTTTACTCGATCCAAAGGAGCAACTGTTGTTTTGGCACAGCATCCAGCAATACCTTACAAAGAAAAAAGTTTAATGTGAGGAAGAAATTGTAACTACTTTACTTTAGTTTATTTCAGAAGGAAATGAATACTATTTCACCAATAAATAAACCCTCTAATCTCTAACTTAGTCTCCATGGCCAGAACAGCCCAGTAGCAAGAATATGCAGATGAGTAGTCCTCATTCTCTATAATTTAATAAGACAGCCTGTCAGGGACTGGTCTCCCTGATCATAAGTTCAAAGTATAGGACACAAGTCTCACCATCCTTGCTTCTAAGGAACATTCTGGCTGTACTTCTTCTAAGACAGACAGACCTGTTTGTTCTTCTGGAAGGCCACAGTGTTTTCAATATTCTTTGCCAACATCATAATTAAAATGCATTAATTCTTCTTTAGCTTTACTCATTTTCCAACTTTCATATGTATACAAGGTGATTGAAAGTGGTGTCTTTTTATGATCACAAAAATTTTATCCACAAAATTCACTCATTCGTTGCCATTGAATCAATTCTGATTCGTAGTACTCACTGCCCTTGCTGGTTTTTAAAGCTGTAACGCTTTACAAGAGCAAAGAGCCTCGTCTTCCTCTCTGCGAGCAGATGGTGAGTTTGAACCACAGATCTTGAGGATAGCAGTGCAGCATTTAATCCACCACATCATCAGAGCACCTTTTATAAACTCACCCCAAAACAAAACAGACTCATTGCAATCAAGTCACATTGGGCTGTTGGGGAGCTCTAAACCACCAGCCACTCCTTGGGAAAAAATTAGGCTTTCCACATCCATAAAGATTTATAGTCTTGGAAAGCCATGGGAGCAGCTCTTTCCTGTCCTTTAGGATCACTATGAGTTGGAATAAAATTCAACTCATAAATGGGTGAATAGGTATCCCTGTAGGCAAAAGGGGCTAGGAATTGTGGGTCTCCTTCACTGCTTCATTCCTAGACACCCAACAGGGATTGGTATTTATTAAGTAAGCACTAAATACATGTTTGCTAAAAAATGTAGTCTTATTTTTACAAACATTAAAAATGTAAGACAAAAATCACTCCAAACCCATAAGCATCTACTGAAGAATTCACTATCTAAAAAAAAAAAAGAATTCACTATCGAACTGATTTTAAAATCCATGTTCTGATTTATATAAAATATATAGCTGTTCTCAAATATTATACCCATATAGTAATTTCCCCCGGTCTCTATTTTTTATTAATTAGGATTAATACATATATTTTCTATGTGGACTCCTTGACAGCCTCTCACTTTTACCCCAACACTGCTCCCCCTCCCCTCAAGACCCTTAATCTACTTTCTGTCCCTCCAGGTTCATCAATCCTGGGTTTCATATTGAAGTTTCTGTTTTATTTGAACTATTATTAATAGTTGACATCTGGGAATATCTGGTTTCAGACTTATTTTAGAATATATTTTTATTTTCATGAATTGAATTAGCCATATAATGAATTTATTTAGGATTTGGTCAATAAGGTTCCTTTAAAAGTATTTTAACTTAAAAAATTATTTTAACTTGCTCATCACATTACATTATTAGCCAATTAATCATCACTACAGTCCATTGTGTTAAGTCAAGTAGCTTCTTTCGTCCTCCAAAGGGTAGGGTTTTCCGGCTATGCAGGATGCTTTCCAAAGGCAGGATTCTATAGAGACAAGTGCTCCTTGCCAGAAACCAACTCTAAATTCATTGCCCACTGAGTTGATTCCTACTCACAGCAACCACATGTGACTGCCCATGTGGGTTCCCAAGACTGTAAATCTTTACTGTAGCACAGTCTCATCTTTCTCTCGTGGAGCAGCTGGTGGGCTTGACATGCGGATCTTGAAGGGAGCAGTTCTGCAATGTAACCCACTACACCGTAAGAGCTCCTTTTATAAAATCCACTCCCCAATAAAACAGTCACTGCCATCAAGTCAATTGACAGTATATTTGCTTTCATGTTTATTATTATTTTCTCGATTACTAATGGAATTAACCAAAAATTGAATTTAAATGGAATTTGGTTAATAAAGCTTTTATTTATATTATATTATTATATTATTTGTAAACTTTTATTAGCTTTTATTTTAAGTCTAGTTTACTCCCAAGCTTTCTTTTTGGACCACTGACCCTGTGTCCAACCCCACCATCTGCTGTGGGCATACCTACCAACTCCATCAGCGTAATGTCAGAAGGGCACGCACTGCTTCTGCAAAGTGACATCTTTGAAAAACTGGGTGCCTTTCCAGATATACACATCCTTGATGGCCTGGGCAGTTTCACAGGTGTTCTTAAAATGGACACCACATTTGACCCTCTTGATTACATGATATTTTTTTAAAGATCATTTTATTGGGGGATCTTACAGCTCCTTTAACAATCCACACATCAATTGTATCAAGCCTATTTGTACATATGTTACCTTGATTTTGTGGGTCAAGTGAGCAGCAAACAATTTTGGCCACTGCAGAAAGAGCTCCTTTAATAATACTTTAACTTGCTTATCACACCACATTACAGGACAATGAGTTATTACAAAAGTCCATTGTGCTCAGTCAAGCAGCTTTTATCTGCTTTTGAGATTGAATGATGAAATTAAGAAATTTGCCCAAGTCCATAGTTAGTCAACGGCAACAAAAAAAACAACAACCAAACTTACTGCCACCAAGTTGATGCTGGAGAGTTGTTGCTAACACAATCTGCAGCTCTACATATCATAAGTTACCATTAGTCAAAACAGACTCAAGGCGGTTATTCTGGCTATGTAGCGTTTATTTTGTACCAAGTACTAGGTGCAAGGAGCCCTGGTGGCAGAGTAGGTTGTGAGTTGTGCTCTTAACGACAGTCAGCAGCTTGAAAGCAACAGTAGCTCCACTGGAGACAGATGAGACATGCTACTCCTATGAAGAGTTGCCGTCTCAGGTACCCACAGGAGCAGTTCTACTTTGTCCGACAGGCCACTCTAATAAAAATCGACTCGATGGCAGTGGGTTTACTTCGTCTTTTTAGTACTGGACTGCAGGACCAGAGGCTACAGACCTTGTGAAAGACTTTTACAGGTATTATCTGATTTAATCATCTTAGCAACCCTCTGTGATAATCGTATTACATAATTTTGAAGCACAGAGAATAACTTACTCAAGAGAACTCCTTGTGTTAGACGGGGTAGTCTAGAGAAACAAATCCAGTGAGGCTCATATGTGTGTAAGAAAGAGCTTTATATCAAAGAGCAATTGTATATTGAGGAAACATCCGAACCCAGTCCAGATCAAGTACATAAGTCTGATATTAGCCCATCTCTCTGATACTAGTTCATAAATTTTTCTTCAGACGTATGCAGCCATCCAATGATGCTGAATGCAGGAAGATCACAGGCCAGTGGTGGATCCAGTGGTGGTGGAAGTATCTCAGCTCTGGCGTGGGTCTCCATGTGGCTCCCCCAGCTCCAGGGCTGTGGCTTCCATCAGCATGGTTCCATATGGCTTGTAAACAGGAATGTGTAGCAGAGAGAGAGTGCGTCCCACCTCCAGGGAGGAAGAAGAGAGTTCCCAGACTCCTCAGGAAAAGGCTATGGCCACACGGAGGCATCATTGGCTATGACCTGATTGGTAGGCTAGACTCCAGCCCTTTGCTCATGTTGACAGGAGATTATATAACTGCCATACTCATTATATAATCTTCAGAGGTATGTCAATCCCCGTAATTTTGATCTGATACTTCACCAAAGTAATATAGATGACCAACAAACACATGAAAAATGCCCATCATTCTTAGTTCTCAGAGAAATGCAAAATAAAAGACAAACGGGATACTACCAAATACCTATTCGCATGGAAAAGTACGTGACCAATACCATGTGCTAAATATAAGCAATACTTTGGAAAACAGGTTGGCAAATTCTTGTGAAGTTAAACATTTTTATTTTGTTACGTACCATCAGGGTGGTTCTGACCCATAGAGACCCTACACACAACAGAACAAAATACTAACTGGACCTGCACCATTCTCAAAATGGTTTCTATGCTTGGGACCACTGTTGGAACCACTGTGTCAATCCATCTCCTGCAGACCCTTCCTCTTTTAAGCTGTCCCTCTACTTTAACTGAGCATGATCTCCTTTTCCAGGGACTGGTCTCTCCTGAGAACATAACCAAAGTTTGTAAGACAAATCTTCCCATCCTTGCCTCTAAGAAGCATTCTGGAATTCTTCTTCCAAAAGAGATCGGTTTGTCCTTTTAGCAGTCCAAGGTATTTTCAGTACCCTTAACACTCAGCAATCTGATTCCTACATATTTACCAATGATAAATAAAAACATATCAATACAACAACCCGCACACAACTTTTCATAACCACTTTATTCAAATGGCCAAAACTGGAAGAAGAAAAAAAAAAGAAGCAAATTTTCAACTGGTGAAGCTGTGGTATATCTATAAAATGGAATACCATTCAGCAATACAAAAGAAACAAAGTACTGACACATGCAATGTGGATAATCTTAAACATTTTGTTAAGTGAAGGAAATTGGAATTCAAAGGCTAACTACTGTACATCCCATTTATATAACATTCTAGAAAAATGCAAAATAGCAGATCCATGGTTGCTTAGGCTGGAAAAGAACGATGGCAAAGAGAAGTGATACTCTGTGGGGAGGATAGAACTGCTCTATATCTTGACTGTGGTGGTTGGTACTGGACATGTTTGTCAAAACTCACTGAACAACTTTACACCTAAAAGGGTGAATTTTACTGGATATAAATTATGCCTCAGTAAACCTGGCTACAAACAACTATACAAGTTCCTAAAAGAAATGCAACTTACCATATATACTCGAGTATAAGCTGACCCAAATATAAGCCAAGGCACCTAATTTTACCACAAAAACTACATTTTAAATGTGCTGAAAAACTTGGCTTATACACTATGAAAGACAGTGTCTCATAGTGGGGCCTCTATGGTCCTCTCTGTGTGTTGGCTGCCCTAAGCAAGAATATCATCCTCAAGGCTTGGTGGGCCAGGATGTGTTCCACTCTCTCTTCCTTTGCTTCCTCCATTTGCTATCAAAAATTTCTTGCCTTGTTTTATAGGCTTTCTGTGGTGAAGTATAAAATATATAATAAAAGGTGCACAAGTCATAAACATGCCACTTATTAAATTGTTGCAAAGGGAGTACAATTACTAACAACCACGCAGAATAAGAAATGGAACATTACCAGCTCCACAAAGAATCCCTCCCAGCCTCCCCAAATCACTATTTGCCCTTTCTTCTTCAAAAATAATCAACCGCTGATGACAAAACAATAATAATTTATGAATTATGAAGAGTTCATGAGGGAGGGGGAGGGGGGAAGGAGGGGGGAAATGAGCAGCTGATATTAAGGGCTAAAGTAGAAGGTAAATGTTTTGAGAATGATGAGGGCAACAAATGTACATAGGTGCTTGACGCATGGATGTAGGTATGGATTGTGATAAGAATTATACGAGCCCCCAATAAAATAATTTTTAAAACAAATAAACAACCGCTGTTCTGCCTTCTCATGATGTAGGTTGAGTTTTGACCGTTGGTGGAGGATTCCTGGTGGTGCAATAATTAAGTGCTTGGCTGCTACCCAAAAGATAGGCAGTTTGTGACCTTTATTCACGTGAAATTACACAATAGGCCTTTTGGTGTGTGTCTGGTTTTTTTTTCTGTTCAACATTACGCTTGTGAAGCTCATTCACATTGTTCAGGTAACAGAAATTGATTCATTTTTCAGAGTTGCAAAGTAGTTTGCTGTATAATGATACATTGAACATTGATAGACATTTGGGTTGCTTCTAGGTTTTGGTTGTTATGAATATTGCAGTTAGGAACAGAAATAGATATGTTGGCACATACCTCGTAATGGAACTGGTAGGACATATACATGCAAATGAAAGAAATGCAAATGTTCAGCTTCATAGAGAACTCCTCAGTGAGGTTCTCAAAGTGGTTGTACCAATTTACTGCTTACAGCAGCAGTGTAGGAGAAGACCCGTTGCTCTCCTTACCTATACTTCAGTTCATAATGGGCGTCACAAATGTAGCATGTCTAAAACAGAACTTTTGGCCCTAACCCCCACAATTACCACAAAATCTGCTCCAACTACCCAGTGTCATCATCGAGTGGATTCCACCTCATAGGGACATTATATAGGGTTTTTGAGACCATATGTTTTTACAAGAGCAGACAGATAGCCTCATTTATCTCCAGGTGAGGGGTTTGAACACATCCAACACCACCAGGGCACCTACTAACTCACTGCAATCGAGTCATTTCCAGCTCAGAGCAGTCTTAGAGGTAACAGGTCAGTGCATAACCACTATGCTACCAGGGATCCTTCAGAGCAGTCCTGTAGGACAGTAAAACTTGCCCTGTGGGTTTCTCAAAGATTTATAGTGAAAACAAGGAAGACTTTTGACAAGATGGTTTGACACAGTGGCTGCAACACTGGCCTCAATTGTGTGGATGGCACAAAACCAGGGCAGTTCTATTGTACGTAAGATTGCTGAGTCCTCCCCGAAGAAGAATGCACTTCAGAGGACAGTACTGAAGCTGCAGCTCAGGGAGAGGGACATGTCTGATCAGAGCACACGGGAGCAAACGGAGGGGGAGGAAGAGAGAGTGGAGCACATCCTGGCCAACCAAGCCCTGAGGATGATATTCTTGCTCGGAGCAGCCAACACACAGAGAGGACCATAGCGGCCCCACTGTGAGACACAATGTCCCTCACTGACTCATAGCGCTGTAGGGCACAACACTGGAGAAACAGTGCAGGAATGGTGCCCTATCTGACCCCACCACACTGAGGTAAAACACTAAGGGTGTGCAACAGAACAGCAAGGGGAACAGAGCAGTGAAGTCCCGAGGGAATACCAAAAATAGACTTTGGGGCCAGTGCATGGCACCTAATCAGACTCCACCAGAAAACACTCCTACCTTAAGATCAACAAATGGACCTTGAACTATTTACAGGCTTTTCTTTCTTTTTTTATGTCATTGATATTTTATTATTGTTTTCTTTTGTTGCTTTGTTTTGTTCTGTCTTGTTTTTTTGTGTGCATAATATTATCTCTGCAGATCTATCTAGATAAGATAGGCTGATAAACAATCTGGAGGAGAAAAAAACAAGACCAACTGTTCCGGGAGCGACATGGGAGAGGTGGAGGAAGGGGGAAAAGAAGTGGTGTTAATAAACCCAGGGACAAGGGAACAACAGTGATCTAAAACTGATGGCAATGAGGGTGTAAGAGGCTTGGTAGGACTTGGTCAAGGGCAATGTGACTGAGAGGAATTACTGAATCCAAATGAAGGCTGACCATGATAGTGGGACAAGAGGAAAGTAAATGGAAATAGAGGAAAGAAGTAGGAGTCAATGGGCATTTATAGATGTCTAAATACAGGCATGTACATATGAAAATATATTTATATGTGCTGATGGGGAAATAGATCTATGGGCATATATTTATAGGTTTAGCATTAAGGTAGCAGATGGACATTGGGCCTCTACTCAAGTACTCCCTCAATGCAAGAACACTTTTTTCTATTAAACTGGCATTCCATGATGCTCACCTTCCCGACACAATTGCTGAAGACAAAGTGGGTGCATAAGCAAATGTGGTGAAGAAAGCTGATGGTGCCTGGCTATCAAAAGATATAGCATCTGGGGTCTTAAAGGCTTGAAGGTAAACAAGTGGCCATCTAGCTCAGAAGCAACAAAGCCCACATGGAAGAAGCACACCAGCCTGTGTAAATCATGAGGTGTCAAAGGGATCAGGTATCAGGCAGCATCAGAACAAAAAAATCATATCATTGTGAATAAGGGGGAGTGCAGAGTGGAGACCCAAAGCCCATCTGTAGGCAATTGGACATCCCTTATGGAAGGGTCTCGGGGAGGAGACGAGCCAGTCAGGGTGCAGTGTAGCAACGATGAAACATACAACTTTCCTCTAGTTCCTAAATGCTTCCTCCACCCACCAGTATCATAATCCCTATTCTACCTTACAAATCTGGCTAGACCATAGGATGTACACTGGTACAGATAGGATCTGGAAACACAGTGAGCCCAGGGCAGATGATCCCTTCAGGACCAGTGGTTGAGAGTGGTGATCCGGGGAGGGTGGAGGGAAGGTGGGATAGAAAGGGGGAACCGATGACAAGGATCTACATATAACCTCCTCCCTGGGAGAAGGACAACAGAAAAGTAGGTGAAGGGAGGCATTGGACAGTGTAAGATATGACAAAATAATAATTTATAAATTATCAAGGGTTCATGAGGGAAGGGGGAGCGAGGAGGGAGGGGGGAAATGAGGAGCTGATGTCAGGGGCTTAAGTGAAGAGCCAATGTTTTGAGAAAGATGAGGGCAATGAATGTACAAATGTGCTTTACACAATTGATGTATGTATGGATTGTGATGAGTTGCATGAGCCCCTAATAAAATAATTAAAAAACTTTTTTTTTGGTTCCTAGTCTTTGTTGTTGTTGTTGTTCCTAGTCTTAACAAATTAGTAGTTGATGACAATCCAGACTGGCACATAGAGAGACTGAAACACCAATTTATGGGAGGCAGAGTAAGTTCTCTGGACACATGCAATTTTTGGCATCAGCTACAAGTACTTGCCAACTGCTGGCACAGTTCACTAGAATCACTGGAACCAGTTTTAGTTGTAAACGGTTTTGCACAATTTCTTTAAAAGATGAACCTCTAATATTTGTTTTCCATTAAGCAAACAGTAAAATCCAATCTCATACACTCAGTCACTCATAGCCTTTATAAAGGAAAGGGAGCCCAGGTTTATTAATTTAGGTTTCACTGAATTCCTGGAGCCTTTGAAGGCATTATTATGGAAGCAACGTCAAAAAACACATGCCATATTGCATTTGGCAAATGCACTGCAAAAGACTTCTTTTTGTTTTGTTTTTTTGCTTTTTAAAAGACTTCTTTAAAGTCTTAAAAAAAAACAGATATATGGTTAAAAACCTAAAAATTGTTTTAATTAAATTATTTTTTTTCAAAAGATATCTTTTGAAAAAATATATATATCTTTTGAGGACTAAGGGGTGCCTGACCCAAGCCAAGGTATTTAAAATCACGTCAAATACATGCAATAGCTGGACAATGAATGGAAGACTGAAGAATTGGTGCATTTCAATCGTGATGTTGGGAAAGAATATTAAATATACCTGGACTGACAAAAAAACAAACAAGTTTGGAATAAATACGGCCTGAATGCTCCTTAGGCTAGTATGGTGAGACTTTGAGGTATTGTGGACCTGCTATCAGAAGAGAACAGTCCTTGTTAGATATTATGCTACATAAAGTAGAAGGTCGGCGAAAAGAAGGAGAAACCTCTACCTGACCAGGGGTTGCAACAATTATCTCAAACACAGAAAGATGGGGAGGATGGCACAGTGCTTCATCCTGCTGTACACAGGGTCGCTGTGTAGAGGAACGGTCTGGAGGACAATTTACAACACCGTGCCATCCTGGAGAACGGGTTCCGGGTACAGCCCTTGCAGCGCGGGAGGCCCTTCCTCTACATGCATTACAACGGGGTTGCAGTTTAAGTCACACCTAACAAAGACTGGAGAATACAGGGTTTCCTTCACTTGTACCCAGGGTGGTCCAAGAACTGGAACCCACTCCATGGCACCTAACCACACCGTAGGTCAAGGCCAACATCTGCCGGGCAATGCAGCAGCCGGAGTCCGGGAACATCGCCGCGGTCGCTTACACCACCTGCCTCGGGTCCAGCCTCCCTTGCCCCGCGCGCGGCCGGGTCCTCCCGGCGGGCACCCACCTCCAGCCAGGAAGGAGCGCAGCCAGTAGAAGTCTCTGCGGGCTGCGGGCCCGCCAGTCCCTGACGCTGGTGGCATCGCGGGAGGGGGGTCGGCCGAAGCCAGGGCCGCCGCTGCCGCCGGCATCGGGGCTCCAGGCAAGTAGGAAGCCTTGGCCGCTGAGTTACAAGCCGCTGGCCCGGGACATGGTCGGAGGGACTAGTGACAGGTTGCGACCCGCCCCGCGGGCTGTGCTTCCGAACACCAGGTGCGGAAGCGCGGACTGATGGCGTGCGTGAGGGCGGGGCCTGGGACTCCGCCCCAGACTGTCCATGGACCGGGTGGACCGAGGGGCCGGCCCGGGGGCTGGGCCCCGGGCGGGTCCCCCAGCTCTGCCAGGGCGGGGCGGTAGCCAAGATCTGGGCACCCTAAAAAGAATCTACCAGGCCCAGTACCTCCTTTACCCTGCCTCACCAAAGCCCCGAATCCTCTGATGTTTAGGGCGCATGGTTTCAGACTTAGAAGGGAAGCAAGATTGGCTAAAGGATTCTTCCAGATGTTCCCCACCTCTGAGAACTCCCCTTCTACCAATAACCCTTACTGCCCATTGGACGTCTTTTAACCTCCCTGAGCTGCACCCGTTTCAGGCCAACCTTTGGCTCCTCTGTCTTTCCAGACATGTATGGCTTTGCTCCCATCTGCAATTGAATCGGCGCTGCCACCTCAGGCCTCCCTAAACCTCAGCCTCTGCTAAGCACCCACTAAATTCCACAACACCCCATTATTTCCGGCAAGAAAGATTGCTAAAGTCCCACAATCTCCTTTCTTTGAAACCCTACAAATTACACAAACATTTCTGTTTTCTCAAGCCTTTCTGATTCTGTTTGTACCTTTTTCCTATTCTCGCTCACATTTTACACCAACCCCAAGCCTCTGTCCTAAACTCTGCAGAAAACCCCAGTTTCCTTCTACTGACCCCACAGTAGTCCAAAATTACTTTTCTGTTACCTCTGGTAGGCACTGGGAGAGAGGTACGCACTGAGCTGCTACCCTAAAGGTCTGTAGTTCGAAACCATCAGCTGCTACAATGGGAGAAAGATGAGGATTTCGACTCCCGTAAAGAGTTACAGCCAGGGAAACCCAGAGGAGGGTCGCTATGAGTCAGCATTGACTTGATGACAGTGCATTTTGAACTTCATCCTTAAACGCCCTTGGATCTTGCTCATCTGCTACCTCCTGAAATGATGGAACGCCTACTAGTTCTTTTGGGTAGAGTGACTCTGTTTTCTTTTCATCTTCCCTTTATGCTTCCTGCATCATTCAATATTTTCCCCACAGAAACTTTTCAGACTGTAACTTGAAGCTTGAAATTATTACTTTTTTGATGTGTTAATCCAGGTACACTAGAGAAACAAATCCAGGGAGACTCATGAGCATAAGAAAGAGCTTTACACACAAGAGCAATTGGATATTGAGAAAATATCCCAACCCAGTCCAGATCACGCCCATAAGTCTGACTAATTATTAGCCCATATGTCCAATGCCAATCTATTAAGCCCTCTTCAGACTCACAAAACACATGCAACAACCCAGAATGCAGGAAGATCACAGGCCAGAGGGTGGGAAGTCCTGTGGATCCAGTGGAGATATAAGCATCTCAGCACTGGTAGGGGGTCTCCATGTGGCTTCTCCAGCTCAGGGCACTAGTGTAACTCCATGTATCTTGTCAGCTGCAATGTCTCCTAGGGAGTCAGCATGTGTCCAGCCTCCAGTGAGCTATTTATCTCCTTAGTGCCTCTAAATGAGGTCATCAAGCTACAACCTGATTAACCTCCACCCCTTCACTCTTAATCTTCACAAATTGAAAACAGATTATATAACTACCACAGACCACCCCTTGCCAATTTGACATTTTCATACATCTCTTTAGCCATATATAATCTTCTAACAAACTAATAAAATTATATCTGTACCTAACAGAATAAAACTTCAAGGCATACAGTTCAAAAATGCCACCCTTATTTAACATTCTATAAGTAAACAAATAAAAAAGATCATATGCCTAACAATTGCAGTTAAGTAACACCTACACCTTAATCCAACATCCTATGAATATATTTCCTGACCACCAGCCTCTCGGAGACCAGGGGAAGAGAACAGGGGGGACTCTGGCCCTCCCCCCTCCCCATTCCCTCCTTGCCAGCCCCTTTGCCATGGCCTGGATCTCGCGGAGTGGTGGGGACAGTGTAAAGGAGGGGGAGCAAAAGTGTGTGTCTGGGTCTGGTTACTGTCCTCCCCGGGGTGACTGTTCTAGAGTGGCCTCAGGATAGGTGGGGGCCACACCATCTCTGCACCCCAGTAAAGGTGACCCCTGCAGTCTCGGCTGCGGAGAGGGTGGTGCTGTGTGATGCTCAGGCATCTCCCCATCCCAAAGGCGGCCTGATGGGAGCAGGTGGGGGTCCTTGCTCTGCCCTCCGGCAGGGAGGGGAGCCATGCTAAGACGCCAACCTCAGGGGCTCGGGTTGGGTTCTTTTGATCCTGAGAGCTGTTCTGAGAGCAGAGGACAACATGGGGCATTGTCAATAAACCAATTCTGAGTTTCAATATATATATATATATATAGATAGATATAGATATAGATATATATTCCCTGACCTATGAAAGTTTGTAAGCCAGCCACTTCATGCCTTTATCCACCCGATTTTGGGTATCCAATTTCTATACTGTCCACTTACATCAACCCAGCACTGTGAGGGGCCAACCATGTTCTTTGAAGTGAAGAATCTTCTTTCCAGTTAGAACCTTGTGAGTTTGTGTTCATAAGCAAAGTCAAAACAGACAGGCTATCCATTAAATCTGCAGCAACATGCACCAGTTCACAGTCTCATAAATCTTCTCTTCATCTGGTTGCCCATCTTCACCAGGGTGCCCATTAGCTACCTTGCCTTTAGATCATGGACCCCACCACAAATTCTCAACAACCCTTGCCAACCTTGTACTAGGCCATGAACTTCAGACCAGTCAACCTGCTCTCATCTTCTCTAGTTCCTGTAAACCAGGTCCACAGGTGTCAGTGGCCAGACTCAACCCGTTTCTCTATTGCTGCTTTTCTCTCACTTCCACTCAACAAGTGGATCCAGGTGGTCACCTAGCAAGCATTTCAGGCTGCCACAGGCTCCCTTTAATGTTCAGTCCTAGAGAGGAGTTTTCTTCAAGGTTCCAGATTTTTTCAGCTTCTGACAAAAAACCACAAGTTCAAACTTCAAAAATCCAAAGAGTTCCTTTTTCTTCAGTCTGTCAACAAAGCCCCAGGCAGGTTTCTTGGAATGCAAATATCCGGAGTACTCCAAAGCACTGGGTGGGGTTTATCTTTTCAAAGCCTTCTTTGCAGGCAAGTCTTAAACCCATTTAAAGATCCAATGTTAATGGCTCCAGGCAAGTGGGTTTACAAGCTCTCTATTTTCATACTTCCCAATAATCATTTCTTTCAATAATTATATCAACAACAATAAGAAGAAATCAGTATAAACAAAGTAGAATCAGATACTAATCTCAATTCTTTTTTTTTTCTTGATTGCTTTTTCTTTCTTTTTTTTTAAATCATTTTATTAGGGGCTCATACAACTCTTATCACAATCCATACATACATCAATTGTGTAAAACGCATTTGTACATTCATTGCCCTCATCATTCTCAAAACATTT